TGATTAAAGTAAGTCAATCACGGAAGGACAAGTACTGTATGAGCCCATTACTGTAAAAAGACAAAGAAGGGTTTGCTTGCGAAAGGGGACTCACGTTCTAGGTTACCAGGTGGGGAGGGAAGGGATATATGTAAAGAGTCTGAGACCACCATGATAACATTAGGAAAAGAGAGGATGGTGAACTGTGCACATAGTAGATAGATGACAGATGCTAATACTAACCAGTGTGCCCACAATACTGCATTACCATTAACACCAAACAATGCATTACCATTAACACCAAACACCAGGCTACAGAAAAATACATAAACATCACAGAGGACCAGATGGGGGTCAGTGAACAGGAGTATACTCTAGACCAAGGAGAGACTCAGCACAGGCTAATCTTGCACAGATACCAGTGATACAAAATACCTGCAATCCTTACAGAAACAAAAGAAGACAGACACAGAACAATCCCTCACAGACACCCAGGCACTATGGGAGAGAGATCCAACAGATGTACCATCTCAGGACCACAGTACTGGTGGACACAGACTCAACTGGCACAACAAAATACATAAAAGCCTTGTTCCACATCCTACATTGGTGAGTAGCAACTGGGGTCTTAAAAGCTTTCAAGTGACCATCTAAGATGCACCTAATAGTCTCCTAGCGTCAGCAGCAAAGAAGAGGGTAAAAAACCAAGGGCATTTGGAAGCAATCAGCCTTAGGACACAAAGGCCCTCAAGACCAGAGAACCAGATGGTGCCTGGCTACCAATGCCAACCACTCAGGAAAGGATCAAATCTGGAGATCCTGGATAAAGTGGGAGGAAAAATATGGAATAAAATCCAAAAACTCAATAATGACCAGAATTACTGGTCGGATGGAGTCTGGTGAGGCCCCCAATACTATGGCCCTGGAATACATTCTGTACCTAGAATAAAACTCATTCCCAGGGGCAGGCTCTCAGCCTAATAGTTAACAAGACATAGATGCAGACCACTCAACCCAGGGGGATGCACCCACATTCTCTATGGAAACACATCCCTTGGAGCAATAGACCACAGGGCACCAGAGGGGCAACATTCGCATGGAGGTAATGCAGGACAAACAGGAGTGCATAACTATGAGGGGCACAGGGGGAGGGTTACTGGGCAGGGAGGGGAGGAGACTGGGTTAGGGTTGGGCATGGTAAATGAGGAGTGAGCTAAATGTACATGTAATGTTGAATGTAAAACAAACTCTTAAAATAAAATTTAAAAAAAAAAAAAAAAAAGGAACTAAAAAAAAAATTAGGAAGGCCAAAACAAGAAAATCAGAGGTTCAACCTAGAAGGTGCAACATCAAGTTAAGGAGAGTTGAAGTAAGAGAAGAATCGAGGAATTTATCAAAGAATTAATACAGGAAAATTTCTGAGAATTGAAGGATACCAGTTTCCACATGAAAGGGCTCACCAAGTGCACGGTGCAATGAATGGAAAAAGTTACACCAAGACACAGAGTCATGAAATTTCACAGAATACCAGAGATAAATAAAAGATCCTAAAAGCTTCTAGAGAAAAGAGCAAGTCACATATAAAGGCTCAAAAATCAGAGTCTATTAGTATTCTCAAAAGAATTTTTGAGAGCTAGAGGATCACCTCCTAAAAAAGATACAAAAGAACCAACTATAAAGGAACTGATGACAATGACATTAAAATTAAGAACTTGTTTTTCACCCATGGACACCATAGGCTGAAAACAAGCCATAAAGCTAGGAAGATTATCTGTAATACATATCACTGACAAAGGATTAGTATTCAGAATATATGAAAAATCTCATGAATCTCTAACTAAAGAGATAATCCAGTAGAAAAATATGTGCAAAATATGACTCTTTACAAAAGAAGAAACTTAAATGGCTAATAAAAATGGAAAGATACTTGACTTCATAAGTAATTTTAAAAAGAACATGCCCATCAAATGTAATGAAGATGAAGACGGTAGGGAGGGGAAGGAAATGAAGAGAACCCAGGGTAGAAACGGAGATAGTGCTGATCCAATACTGGGGTTATTTTTACTTTAACAGAGTATGTATTCTTACTCTTTGACAATATTTACCTTTAAGGGGGAGAAATGAAGAAGAGGAAGAACCATACATAACAGGGAAGGAGTACACACAGAGCTGTTAAGATTGTGTGTTGAGGTTGTCAGGGAGAGGGAACATTATTATTATTAATTAAAAGAAAATAAAGAACAGCTTTACTAATACAAAAAATACACAGGGTAAGAAGCTTAAATATGTAAGTCACAGCAAAAGCAGGTGGCAATTCAACATCCAGGGTTGACAGGATGCTTGAAGGTAACTGCAGCAGACCAGATTTCCACATCAGAGAGGGCATTTCATATGTAAGGAAGGACCCATGTCTAAGAGCTTTATGAGTTCTCTCCCCTCAAGAATCATGAGAGGCATTCAATTCAAGGGGAAGTGTGGAATCAGGCAGGTCAAAACTCTCAAAATCTAGAGGATTAAAGGGAAAGAATTTTCCTGTTTCTAGATAGGTATCATCCAAGGCATGAATAGAGCTTTTCTCTTAACTAGCCTGCTTAGTCATCTTCTTGGCAGAGAAGGTTTGCTGCTTTTGTTTGAGGGGTCCATTAGTCTTTACTGACTTTTCTGTAGTTCTGGTGACAGTTATCAGAGACTTTCTGACAGCTTTGGGTAGGGCAGATGGAGCATCAAGTATTTTATTCTGAGATCTCCCATCTAAGGCACTGACTGAAGACCCAGATCCCAGCTTCAGCCCATCCTTAGGAGCCACACAGGTACTTGGTTCTCCATTTTCCTTCTCAACAAAGATCAGGGTAGCCATCATAAATTACCCTTGATATCAACAGTCATATTCAGTCAAGATTCAGCCACCCATGGCTGTGTCAGGCTAGGCCTAAGATTACTCTTTAAAATAGTGTGTGTGTGTGTGTATGACAGACACCTCACCATCTCTGAGAATACATCAGCTGTAAAACACACAGAAATACATTATTTTATGTATCAATACGAAAAGAAAACATGGCCACTGCAACTATGGCATCTCATAATTATAAGACAGCCTGATTCTTGAAGGTAGTAAACATGAAAACACCGTATCTTACAACTGACAAAATAAGTACCATGTTTTGCAAATTTTTTTTAAACAGTAAAAGAGTTGCATGTTGTTGTTGTTATGTGCCACTGAGTCAGCCCTGACTCATAGTGAACCCTCCTTGGGTTTCCGAGGCAGTATCACTATGGAAGTAGACTGCCCAACCTTCCTTCCGAGGTGTGGCTGGTGAGTTTGAACCGCCAGCCTTCTGGTTAGCCGTCAAGTGCCTTAGGCACTATGCTACCAGAGCTCCTAAACAGTTGCATAATACCTTTAAAATTCTAAGGAAAAAGATTTCTAATCAAGAATGTCAAACTAAGACAAATTACTAATCAAATGTGAGAGCAGAAAAACACCTTCAGAATGCAAGATCTTAAAACATTTATATTTTAATCTATATATTTATATTACCACTTTTTCAGGGATTGCTAAAAGATGTGACTTACCATTAATACTGGAAAGTAAAATAAGAGCAAGAAAAAAGGGAAGTCAACAAGAGAGAGAAAGGAAAATTCCTGGGACAGGGAAAAAAATCTCAGCAGTACAGCTGTGCAGCAGGTCACTAAGAGTGTACAAGTTAAGGAGAAGTACAGGCAATGCAGAGAGGAAAAAAGAAAGAGGTGTGATTTACAAAGGATAACGCAGTTTAATCTAATTGGCAAATCTTTTTACTTTCTTTAAAAAAAAAAAAACCCACAAACTCACTGCTGTTGAGTTGGACTCGACTCATAGGATACCTCCTTGGGTTTCCGTGGCGGTATCTCTATGGAAGTAGATTGCCAAACCTTCCTTCCGAGGAGTGACTGGTGGGTTTGAACTGCCAGCCTTCTGGTTAGCAGCCAAATGCCTTAGGCACTATGCCATCAAAGGTACTAAAATAATGAGACATCTTATAACTGATTATATATTAGATTTTATGAAATATAGTGTACTAAAAGGATGGGAAAAGTTAATAAGCATGTTGGTTTATAAGAGAATTAAATCCTTCAATTTTAGAATACAAAGTTAATAGAAAATATCTAAAATTGAAAAATCAATAAACAGCAATATAACATTATTAATTAGAAATACAGGAGGTAAATGTCAAGAGAAAAAGCTAAGAGTTCAAAGTGGTTGCAGAGAACTGCTGGTTTTCATTATAAGCCTAGTAGATATACTATGTACATGTATTCTTGCAATAAAAATAAAAAGTGATCGATGGCCTTGCAAACTCAATGTGGGGTAGCTACAAGTTAGAATAGACACTGAAAGAGAAATCACAGCTTCCATTCAGCTTGCATTATTAATCAGTTCTACCAAGCTGAAACGATTGATATAAAGATATGCAAAAGTCAAGAAACATTTCAGTGACCACATATAGCTTTATCATATCTCTTCACAATACCCAAACTTTATAAATAAAAATTATTATGGAAATACACGCTAAAAAGCAAATATAAGTTAAATTGATTAACCTTGTGGGGGGAAAAGCCTAAATATGGTCCCATAAAGTAAGAGAAAGGAGCTCTGATGGCATAGTAGTTAAGGGACTTGGCTGCTAACCAAAAGGGTGATGGTTCAAACCAACCAGCTGCTCCATGGAAGAAAGAGCAGTCTGCTTCCATAAAGATTTACAGCCTTCGAAACCCACTGGGGGTTGCTATGAGTCAGAACTGACTCAATGGCAGAGAGTTTGGTTTGAAGTTAAGAGAGCAAGGAGCCCTGGTGGTACAGTGATTAAGAGTTTGGCTGATAATCAAAAGGTTGGCAACCTGAACCCACCAGCTCCCCTATGGCGATAAGATGTGGTAGTCTGCCTCTGTCCTATACGGTCACTATAAGTTGGAACCAACTCTATGGCAACAGGTTAAGGTAAGAGATCAGAGCTAATCATATTGAATGCTTCAGTGTTTACCTTTTCTTTGTATACACCTTTAACAACATCAGACATCCTACTGTCTAAAGAGAGTTCACCCAATGTTCTTGATGAACTTCCCGGTAAAGGAGGAAAATTTGAGGCTAAAAGGTCAAACTTTGGTGTTGGAGCCTTTGCTTCAGGTGTTGATGGATGGGGTCTCTAAAAGATACAAATCACAAAACAGGTCATACGCCTATGTATCTTTGTCTAATTCTGTACCACAGAAGCTGAAAGCTGTAAGAACAAAAATAAAATAAACACCAAAAATCATACAGAAATACTCAGGACTATCTCATTGAACATTCTTAGCTTCTCATCTCAATTGAGCTCTCATTTGGTATACAGAGCTGTAAGGCAAAGCAAATGAATCATGACCCAGCAATCTCACTTCTAAGGAGCCCTTAGAGGCCAGTGGTTAAGATCTCAGCTGTTGACTAAAAGGTTGGTGATTCAAATCTACCAGTGCTCCATAGGTAAAAGATGTGGCAGTCTGTTTCTGTAAAGATTACAGCCTTGGTAACCCTATAAGGCAGTTCTATAAGGTTGCTATGAGTCAGAATCAACATAACGACAACAGATTCGGTTTCTCACTGCACTGTTTGTAACAGCACAGTCTGTAATAGCCAAAGACTGAAACAAAAAAATCCAGTAAAGAAAGACAGACTACAAGTCAACACCACAGTATATCACAAAAGAAAGAAAAAACATCTGAAGAGATGTAGTTACTTACCGGGATCCTGTCATCTTCTCGTCGTCTTCTACCTCTGAAAAGAGTTCTCCTTTTAACAAAACAAAGGGCAAGGTAACGACTCATAAGATTCTTCAAATATATACTTCTCTATCAAAGCCACCAAATAAAATTCTATTTTGGTATTTTAAGTATCCATACTTTTTGAATCTGAAGCTATTTTCCCATTATTATTAGAAAATACTGTATATTCTTATGAAGGGATCCCAAGCTAATCTACCAAACACTTCATGCATAACCACCATCACCAAGTAAGCTGGGTCAAATTTCTTCAGTAGTACTTCTGCCACCTCTGAAGCATATGAAGTTTCAGTTTTTATTTGTTTTGGCAGGGTAGGCAATATATAAAATCCCACCTCCATAGTTTAGAAATTGAAAGAATTAAACTATAATGTAGATGGGCCATCTTATAAATTGTCCTTACCTTAACAAACTTTAAAAAGCTCTGTGGTGCAGTGCCTAAGGCATTTGACGGCTACCCAGAAGGCTGGTAGTTCAAACCCACTAGCCACTCTGAGGAAGGAAGATGAGGCAATCTATTTCTGGGCAGATTTACCCCCTTGGAAGCCCAATGGGGGTCCTTTGAGTCAAAACTGATGTGATGGCAGTGGGTTTTTTGGTTTATAGTTTTTAATAATGATATGCTATTAACCCAAATTATATGGTCAATGTACTTATTATTTAGCATAATCATGTACCAAGAATGAAGCTAGAAAATAAAATCAAACCCCACCAGATCAAGGTCTTCAAATATTCTGTATGATCACATTATGATCACAAAATTTTCCTATAACATTTCCTTACCTGCCCCTACCATAGTCCCCATTTTGTTCCATCTGCAAAGTGGGAGTCTCCTTCGGAAGGTAAGTTTGTTCCTGATGGCCTGTTACTGTTGGGTTATGCCGTTCAGGTGGAAAGTTCCTTGAATTAGATCTATTTAACGGTCCATCCCCCAATGATACAGAGCCCTCTGCTGAGTGTTCTGAACCACTAGATGACCTAAAATGAGGCTTCATACTGTAAGAAATACAAGATTATATACATGAAAGGATAAATAAAGACAAACAGAAAACCCTTTCCTCTTAATGGTAAAAAAAGATCATTCTAGTCCAATTTTAAAATTGCTATACTCTGATTTTCACAATCTGAGTTAAACATAAAAGTATCAAATTGTGTAACTCCTCTCATGTCCAAGACCTATTATTTTAAGAAGGCAAAACAATTTTTTTTTTCACATTTAAAAAAGTTATGTTTGGAGAGATTTTTGAGAAAGATCCCAAGTGCTGAGATAAAGCTACTTGCACTTCAGTATTAGGAATATATAACCAGGATTTTAGCTGATGCCCTCAACATCACTAGTAGTCTTAAAGTCTAAATCAGCCAGACTTTATGCTAATTTGTGTCTGCAACATGCACTCTCAGTGTCAACATCACTAGTAGTCTTAAAGTCTAAATCAGCCAGACTTTAAGCTAATTTGTGTCTGCAACATGCACTCTCAGTGGGGGCAATACTGCCCCTAAAAGGAGGTCAAAATTGGTTCTTGGAAGTGGGTGTATGAAAAAAATATTACTCATTTTTTGTTTAAAGCACAGATATACATATATTATATAAACAGATCCTGTACCTACAGTATAGGAAAGAAAGTCTAAAAGGCTCTTTAGGGGAGTGACAATGAAAAAAATTTCAGAAATACAGGAATGTATTAAAATTCCAGCCTTACTAAGCATTCATCAGCAAATGAAATTAGTTGTTAAAATTCATATGCAGGGCAGAAAACTAGAAAAATACAGCAATACAACTACTAGCCTGGCATGATTTCAAAATTAAGATATGCAATATGATATTTAAAAAAAAAAAAAACTACTTCCAACAGAGCGTGCTGTGACACTGGGCATGTATAAACAGCCAGCCCTCTGACATTTATAAGCAAGTGATGTTAAGGCAGGGTAAGCGAGGAAGCATTCAGTTTAACCCAACAGTGAAAAATACCTAAAGTAAGCACATATAACTGAGGACTTTGGCTCTGCAGTAGATTAAAAAAAATGTGTTTATATTTATTTGTCCCCTAGCTTGCAGTTTATATATCCCATTTTTACAGTCTATTTTCATAGTTATAAATTTATAATATTAATAATACATTGTCAATTCTTGGTTCTCTGAACAGGGATTTAAAACCTTCTGAATAATTATAAACCCAACAATTTAACAATTTAAATGGTATCCTACTTTTACTCTCTGGATTGCTACTATTCAAACTTAAAAGATAAAAATCGGGCTACAGAGTTGGGCCGAGTTCGATATGGAGAGTTTTCCAGAGGATTATTTTGTCACAAAAAGGATTTTCAGCAGCAATGAAAATTACACCTGTGAGCTTTGGTGGTGTAGTCCCTAAGGCATTTGACTGCTAACCAGAAGGCCAGCAGTTCAAGCTCACCAGCCACTCCTTGGAAGGAAAGTTGGGCAATCTATTTCCGTGGTGCCTTGGAAACCCAAGGAGGGGTCGCTGAGTTGAACTGATTCAACAACAGTAAGTTTGGTTTGTTTGTTTGTTTGTTTTGGTAACCTAGAACTATTTTTAAAATATTTATATTATCCAGTAGTATCTTATACAGTAGATATGCTGCTGATACACATCTGTCAGAAATTATTCACCTAAATTTTTACACTACACTTCAATATACCTAACAGAGGAGCTATTAGATTCAAACAGCCCTCAGATCTCATAATCTCACCCTTCATCGAGAGGACTTACAATCTCAGTCCAGGCAAAAGTGGGGGGCAGAGGGAAGAAGGAGGGGGGGGGAGAGAGAGAGAGAGAGAAGCGATAAAAGAAAGGAAAGAGAAGTGGCAGAAAGACAAAGCAGAGAAATGCTTGGACTTTTTGAAAGTTAGTCCTATTCTCTCTAAGTAGATTAGTCATCATCATTGGGCTGCCAAAAGGTTAATCTAAAACTTGCAAAAAAGCTCTTTTACTTTCTTGACCTTTACAGTCAAGTTACTTTCTCTTTGGCTGGTAATTAAAAAAAAAAAAAAAAAAGGAAAGAGAGCGAGAATAAAGACCTGGTAGTGTTCACCTTTTAGAATCAAGGGGAAAAAAAAAAGAATTAGGTTGATGGTCAAAAAGTACTTTAGTCTATCTGTTTATTTTTCATTTTTGTAAGAAGTATTTGTATATTATTTCTGTAATTAAAAACTAACAGCTTGTACTGGTCAAATATTTGGAAAAGAATTCCACACAAGTGACTCTGAATACATGGAAAATTATACTAAAACCACAGATATACCTTCTTATAAGCAGAGATGACTCGACTGTCATTCCTGGCTATATTATTGCAATTTCACCTCTACCAGCAAGAAAGCAGAGCAGACAAAAACAAGTGATATGAAGGAGTAATCATGAACTTGTCTATAATGTTTTAGTCTACTCCATACCAAAGACATCCATCCCACTTAACAGTTTAAAGCAAAATTCATCCCCCTTCATAGAAATACATGTGAAAGCGATATATACATTTACAAATCATGAGAAATCTGTATCTCCCCATAAGAGATGTTGTAAATTGTCATTTGTAATAAGAATTATCTATTTATTTATTTGTTTTATTGTGATTTGGGTGAAAATTTAGAGAGCAAAGTCATTTTCCATACAACAGTTCATATACATTTTGTTTCATATTGATTTAAATCTGCCATAATGTAACAGCAGCTCTCTTCCCACTTCCTCCCTCTGGTTACCTTTTCCCTGCATCCTTTCCTGTGGTGAATTGTGGTCAGTGTCATGAGACAAAGTATATGTGAACTGCTGTGTGGAAAGTGAATTTGCTCTGTAAATTTTCACCCAAATCAAAATTAAAAAAATAAATAAATAAATCTAAACTCACAATCCCAGCATTTTCTACTCAAGTCAGTTAACAACAATCCTATGCCCAAAGAACTCTCCTTCTCCAAAATGTTACCCATTTAACACAACAAATAACACTCAGACATCAAATTTTAAAGTCAGGTAGTATTAGTAGAAAAAACTTTCCCTATTCTTTTTATTACTACTATTAAAGAAAAAATCAGTATGTATCTTATACAACCTAAGCCCCAAATCCTTTTTGCACCTATTAACAACAACAACACTGCAGCCAAAGTGTGTTTATGAATTTTAGATTGAATAGTCCATATCTTTTGGTGCAAAAATAATTTCCTACTGTCTTGCAAATAAGCATAATGCTATTAATACAGTAACTCCTTAGGAACCACTGTCAATTTTTCAAAGTAAAATTCCAGTCGTGGTTTTCATCTTACCGATTTTTTTGGAATGGTCGACCCATATTCATAGCAGCAGCATTTGTTTTATAAGATCCCGGTGTATTAAAGCTATTCAGAAAACTACCATTGGGAAAGGGAGCCTAGAAGAAAATTTTAATTTTTAAATAATTAATGGCAAAAGCATTATCTGGCAAACAAAGTACAGGCATGTGAGTTAAACATTTACCTCAAGTAGACACACTCCCTGGAGAGAACAATCATGGGAGAAAGAAGGGCAGCTTATGCACAGGGAGACAGCTCAGGGGGCAGGAGAGTATGGAGGGATGGACACTGGGAAGTGGTACTATAGGGAGGAAGTGGGAGGGGAGCTGTTGCATTGTGGTAAACTGTGGTCAATGACATGAGACAAAGTGTATGTGAACTGCTGTATGGAAAGTGAATTTGTTCTGTAAATCTTCACCCAAATTACACACCCACACACAAAAAAGCATTATCTGGTGTGAGGGTCATAAAGAAGCCTCTAATGACCTAATCTAGCATCAATTTCTCTTCCAAGTTAAAAACAATCTAAAACATTTTGCCTATTTACTTGCAATACTTACTTTGGGCACTATTTCATTTACTGAACAGTGAATCACTAGATCATTATTTACTCAATGAAAAACATTCCTCTCTGAAAATGTTTCACAACACTAAAAGCATTTTAATTTATACAGGATTCTTCCAGTTTTTTCTTTCTATTCACTCAACAATTTTAAAGGATCAGATTAAAAGAACCTACCAGTCATATACATATATTCTGTATGGGAGGTAATATAACTATTTAAAAGTCAGGGAGTAACCAATATCAAGATAACACAAAGCAAATATATATATGAACTCTTTTCTGATAATTGCTTCAAATTTCAGTTTAATTTAAAAATTGTATTATTCTGGAAGGAGCTCACTTACCAGTGGTGTTTCAAAGTAAGGTGTAGGATTTGGAGACCAAGACTGAGGCACAAAACTATAGACAGAGTATTGTTGGTGAGGATTATATACAGGCTGCATAAAGACTGGTGAGGCATACTGTGCTTGAGTTTGAATGGGCTGACTATACACACTGGAATCCATTAATCGATAACCATTCTTAGCAAAAAATGTATTGATGGCTTTTATCCTTGCCTAGAAAAAAGAGGAACACATTATAATAACAAAGAAATCTTAATGTGCATTTTTACAAATATATTACTCAACTTATACTTTTTACATGCCTTACCAATGACTATTTCTGCTTACTGTAGAATAAGGAGAGCAAAATAAAAGGAAGGAGTTGATAACTTTAATTCATTTTGTTAAAAGAAAGCTCTTAGATAGCAAAAACCACAATAAACAAAGCAAAAACAATAAAATACAAAACTAATTGCGGCATCAAAAACAAGGAAGCAGTAATAACATATCTGACAAGGGACTTATCTCTAGAATTTATAGAACACTCCAACACCTCAATAACAAAAAGACAAACAATCCAATTAAAAAAT